TAATTAAGCCTGCCATTCATTAACCAAACTTGGACCGGGGCGTTACAACAACACAGCACAGAGCAAAGTTGGGTCCACTTTTGCTGCATTGTGTAATGCAAAAACAAAAGTTTTTTCTGAAGGTGTGTGTATGAGGCAGTGTAGAAAAATCAGCAAATCAGCCAGAGCGGAACAATCGACAGTTCAGGCCATGCAAATGCTTACAGTTAACGTTAAATATTGCATAGTTTCTGGCTCAGACTGCCCATTGACAAGGCCGAATTAGTTTTTGCCCGTAGCCCGTTTGGTAGTTATGGCCAACCCTAATGCAAATTGCAAGCTGGCGCTAAACTTTGCCAATAGACTGACTCAGTTGCTAAATATAACAATAAAATGCTGTATGGATGTGAGTGTGCGAGTATATTCTTAACAAATGAGTGATTCTGTATGTGTATGTGTATTTTTGTGGTTCCACGGCACATTCACATTTTGATTGAATTTTCGATGGACTGATTAGAGATCGTGTGGAACGAGGGAGGCGAATAAGTTTCCACATGCACATATAAATCGAGAGTTTATATGTATTGCTTATATTCTTAAACTTGAAAGACGCGTTACTTAAATGAAGGCATTTGTTGGAAATAACTGTATTTGCCTATGTACACCGCAGCTTGTCTTGCATTCCCGTTTTGTAGTCTTAATCTGCTGTTGCCTGCGAGCAACGGTAATTGTAAGTTCCTTATGATCAAGACCTTCTTCGATGCTATGTTTAAGCTACTTTCATGAAGTAAGAGTCAGTCGCTTTTGGTCGCTTGAATCGCGTGGTATAAGTCGCATGAAGCGGGCATATATTCTGTATTAAATACAAAGCTCTGAATAAATATAAACCCCAAGTTATAATAGAATTAAAAGATTAATTAAAACTATATTCACATCTACCACTATGTGCATCAATTGGATATGATTATTAGTTAGGCATATCACAGTTATATGTAGATTGGTTATGATAATAGATTAATGTTACTTTCGATCTTCACAATTTTCATATTATTGTTTAAATTTATATGTTACATAAAATGCTATCCAAAGCAGTATTTGCTTTAAGATTTTCATTTTCATCTTTCTTTCCTTCCAGACAAATAACAGCTACTGCTCAATTTTGCCACACATTTGTAGTCTGCCCCGTACGCCAGTCAACAACAAATGTTGTGAGAGCAAAGCAAAAAAGGAATTCAGTAATAGAGTGAAATAAAAGAGGGGAACACTGAAAATAAATGCAACACTTGTCGGTACTTTAAGTAGCCCATGGAGAGTTGACCAGCAGAAGTTTTGAAATTTTCAAAAGCACTCCGGCCAGAGCGTTGAATATGCAATTGAAGTATCTCACAAAAAAAAAAAAAACAAGAAGGAAAAAAGCATCACAATACTTAGGCTGGCTGTCTAGTGGCTATAGAAATGTGGATGCATTGTCCGAGGCGGTCAACAGTTTATCAGGAGTAAAAGGTTTATGTAACGGGCTGCAACTTGACACTTTATTCGCCTCCCAAATGAGCAACAAATAAGGCGGGCTGCGTCGTGTAGGTTACTGCAGAGATAGCTAGCGAATACGCTGCTGTTATTAATGCCACGTTATCAGCAGCGTGTCTTCAACTGCTGCCCATTATGCCCCATCTTCCATTGCTTATAAATTTCAATGTCCTTCATGGAACAGCAGAAGCAGCAGCAGCAGTAGCAGCAGCATAAGCAGCAGCAGTAGCAACAGAAACAACAACAGCAATAAAAGCAACAGTAGCTGGGAATTGTGACTGCATAAAAAGCCGAAAAATTAGCATAATTTCAGGCAGCACTTGCAACACTTGCGGCCACAGATAAGGCGCAAAATGAACGCGACTCGTATGTGCGCTCTGCTTTCTGTTTGTGTGCGTTGTGTATGCATTGGCTGCATGTTGTTTAACTTGCATCATATGTGTGTGGCACATTTTTTGCGCTTGGCCATGAAGTTGTTTCGGTTGCCGGCGCCATGTGGCACAGATACTAACAGCAGCACATTCGCAAGGCAAATGATTTGCATAAATGCACAACAGCGACACATTTCGTGGCTTCAAGATTCTGGACAATGCCTCCATTGGGGAAGCAAACTGCGGCAGAGTGAAATGTGGCTGGTAGAGTGCAACATATTCAACGATGGAAAAGAGAGAGAGAGAGAAATATAGGAAGTGTGAGAGAGAAGCGATGTTGGCAACCTCTCAATAATATTTATTATAAATTACGCAATATAAATTACGAGTGGCCAATTCTTTGTCAAAAAATTTTGATAAATATGTGGAACATTTGCTTTTCCATAGCTGACAAATGACTTAGCAACCTTTAGCTACGTATTCAGCAAATTATTCGAAAACGTTTTAATGAATTTAGATCGAATATTTTGGTACTGTTTATTTTCGAACATCTAAATTGCCATGTCCCCGCTTGTGGAAGTGAACGTTGGCCATTCACTTCGTGTTCCTATTCGCACCGAGTCTATAGCCAGTGCATATATGGCCAATTTGCTTCTGACCACATCGCCTCGAATCGTACATAATCTGCTGCCACCTGTGCTCGCACCAGGCACGCAAAGGGAGTTCAGTCAGGTCGGCGATGGTGCGCATTTGAGTCAACAAGAGATGTCCCTGCTGCCTCTCGTTGAATGTGTCCGGCCACGCCCACACACGCTTGTGCGCAAGGTGACAGTGGTTGGCAGCCATGTGCTGCGCTTCGTAAGTTGCCACAGCAGCCTGGCCGCGAGGCGCCACCAAATGCGCGGTCGTTTGCCTCAGTTAAATGCTTATAATTACGATCGAGTGGATGATGTTGACTTATTGGCGACTGATAATGAGCCAACTATGCGCACCTCAGGATTGTGGCGGATTCACCCAGAGCCATTCCAGCCGGATTCTCTAACTTTACCTTCTGCAGATGAGGAAAACTCCACTCTGAGTATTTTCAAATGGAAATTCTATGTTGGCATGTTGTGCATCATAGCGGTGCAGGCGCTGTTGAAACTGGCTTACCATGAGATGTTTGGCATGAGTTGAGGGCGTCTTTACTCAAATTATTGTATAAATTGCCATGCCTTAACTTAAATGAATGAAAAAAATATTAAATGAAGCATTTCAAAGCAAATGTTGAACATTCTTTTAAATAAGATACTGTTGTTTCACGAACTGCAGTGTAATAATAATTAAATACAAGTATACGGAAATGGTGATCCCAAGAGCAAAAATTATAACACGAAGACGATGTTAGTGCACCGAACAGAGACTGTTGCTGAAATGCTTCGGCAGGCTTATTAAAACTTTTAAATTAACTTAAAGCTATCTACAATTATTCTTATCATAACTAGGCCATTAGCTAGGTACATAATTATTGCTGCAAATGCGTCTATTATTATCATATTATCCTATCAGTTCGGAGTACTCTTATCGCGGAAGGTTTTATTACGGACACGATGAGTGCCGTGTACGTGTCTGTTCACCTTTTAACGAGTCCATCTAGTTTATCTTACCATTATAGGATTGAACAACTATTTTATTTATTTTAAAATATTTATTATTAATATTAGAAGTGAGAGAAAAATGGTTAATTATGCACATATATATTAACTTGTAAGTGAAATTCTAGCTGAGTAACGCATTCTTGGCATTGCTTGGCTTATGATATCAATTTGCTGCCTGCTCGCTTTCATCCAATTAAAATTGTATGAGCATATGTGAATATTCATATATCTTATTCATATCGATGTACTGTGCGATTTTAAAATGCTTTGACTTGACTGCCAGGAGAGTCAAGGGAACAACTGGAGCCGGTGGAAGGCGAAACAAGTTCAGTTAACATGAGAGGGAAACAATTCATTTGCCTGCCACTCAGATTCTCAGCTGCTTATTCCCAAAGCTGCGTCATCATGTTTATGTGTGTGCATGTGTGTGTGAGTAAATGTATGGAGGAGCCAATGATGTTGCCATCGTGCACACAGTTGCTCATAATTCAAAGTGGCAACACTTTTGCTGGCACAGAAAACTTAGCTCGACAGACGCCAGCCGCGCTGGAGAAAATGAATGATGAAAATCATCTCCCCAGGTATTTGGCCCCGGCAATCTAATACGTGATATACAAAAAAAGACACCGCAGCGATTTGAAATGAATTGAAATGCCAGTAGGTGGTGAGAGGGGCCCGGTGCAGGGTGCACTGTTAGCTGGCTAGCTGCCTTTTTGTGTGCTGCAGCAGCACTTGCAGCAGTCATTAATAATTGCATGGGTCACACGGGGCGTATGAGTAGCTTGGCGAGCAATTTACTTTGATCAACTCGACTGCTGACATCAACACAAACGGGCCACGCCCACTGCTTACATGCAATACATAAGGGCAGCACTTTTGGCACATGACACTAATTAAAATCGCTCGTCAGCTAATTTCAATGCCACAGCTTTTGTGACTGCTTTCATTTCTCAGTTGTCACAATTATCGCATCAGGTTGTGCGTAAATTCAACCCAGCTGTGCTACACTCTCAGGAATGGTGTTCCGTAGTAACTATTATTCTGACCCTTGTACGCATTCTTTTTGTTTGTCATTTGTCATTAGCCCGTCGTGCTCTTAAACAAGGATTCAAGTACATACAACAGCAGTAAGTACTTCTAAGAGAGGTTAAGGAGGCGCCAGGTACAAAACTCGTATTTGAGGCATGCACAACAGAGATCAAGCACCAGCTTCATTTGCCCGATCTCCTAATTAGCTTCATTGCAGCTGCAGCTATGCGTGTTTCGCATTTTTCTTTGTCAAGAACCCTAAACAACTTTGTTCCCTAATGGGACAATGTGGCTATATGCTGAAAAAGAGAAATAATAAACGTACAGAAAATGGCAATTCAGCCCATCAGAAATCTACTTGACAGCTTCGATACGGGCGGTTCAGTTTTTAAATGCAGATCTACTGCATACCGGTAATATTTATTGCTCAGAAAGTATCTGAATTAAAAAAAAAACATTAGATAAACGTGAACATTTATTTGAACTTACAAATAAGTTCATATTATTGATTATAAATTTATATATTCATGTTAAGCAGTACCAGAACAGGGTCTATTTTTAGGTTGTCAAATTAGGTATTATCAGAGTCCTTGCATCTGCTGTACATTGGTCCAGGTCCAAGCATCTTTAGATACTAAGCTTAGCAACAGCCTCCGCAACCCCCGTATCCACCGCAACACCCACTTCCACAGCAGCTTCCGCAGCAAGGTCCACTCAACGATCCACAGGGCCAACCACAACCCAGAATCATATTGTGAAGATGTTCTTAAAATCAACACAGATTAACAAATTATTTTAGTTTTCTGTATGTATATACTTTTTTACCTTTTTGGACCGGACCAATAAACATTTTGAATATTTTGCTTTGGCGAAAATTTAGATGATACACCTTAGGGCTATGGCGTTAGACTAAAGTTATAAAATACGGAACGAGCTCTGCTCGGATATAAACAGAATTTATTTTCAAAACTACTTTGATTAATACTCTTGTCAGTTTACATATATATACATTTGTGGAATTTCATATAGGAGCCAAAAAAAAACAAGAAGTGGTCAAATCTATCTATCAGTAAATATATGAGGAACAGGCCTAATTTTTTTTATTTTTACTCCTATCAAAGATAGATAAGAAGCATATATTGAAGTTGTGTTGATCATGATTTCTTATTTAAATAAAAATGTCTCAGTGCGTAAATACTAGTTTAAATTAAGCCGATTTTAAAAACCAGATTTTCTCTTATAAAAAAGTTTGTAGATTTATAGGTTAATAATTATATCGGTCCTGAATATTGAGAATATAATGCACTAGAGATTTTATAAAACGAAGACCTTTTAATAAATAACTTCAAACTATTTATTATAAATGTATATATTCAACGTCCACGTAAGCCTCTTAAGTTAGATGCGAAGCTTTGCAACAGCCTCAGTAACCATCGCAACACCCAATTCCACAGCAGCTTCCGCAGCAGCAATCCACAGGGCCAACCACAAGAATAATTGTGTGTAGATGTGCTTAGGAAAAACACAAAAATATATTTTTAAAAAAAATTAATAATATAAAAAAAATTAATATTTACTACCTTTTTGAAAATGGCCAATGAACCTTTTGAAGATTATATGTTGAAGAAAATTTAGGTGTTGTTCCTTAGAATTATAGCGTAAGAAACAAGAGACAGCCCAAAGCTACTGTTGAGTTATATCCTTGTTTATTTTCATTTATAAATATTCAATTTTAAATTGATTGTTTCTCGGTGTATTTTGTGTATCGGTGCTCAAATTCTATCTGTGAAATAAATATGTATAAATATGCATGCAAATGGTACACATTTTTGTATACGCATAATCGAAAATCGATTTTGTTTTCGTTTACAATATGCAAATTAGTCATAGTTTAAATATCAATATTTGGAAAATACTTACATATGTAAAAGCTGAGCAGATATGGAACATGTCCATTTGTATATTCAATAAAAATGCTAGATTTTAATTAGGAATATTAAAACTACTTTCATTATTGTTCATCGTCAGCTTCATAGCCTATATCCATTCTAATTAGATTACTTGAATGAGTAAATTCCGGAATTTCTTCCAACTCCGTAGCACACTTTCTACGTTTGGCTGATATCTCGATGCATACGCTTATGCTTCTCTTACGATTCTTCTTAGCCCGACTGACAGATACGGTGCTTTGGCGATGCACTGACGTCAGCTCTGGTGCTGATTGTGGCGAACTCTGAGTGCTCCAGTTGTCGGTATATGCCAGGGAGCTTGATAATGCTGACTGACGAGGCTCATTCAGCATTAAATTCGATATTTGATTCAAGCATTCGTTAACATTTGCGTTCATTTTCAAAACATAAATTGCAATTATCGTCAGGCAAGCAAAAAAAATGCAAAATTTGAGATTGGAAAGTGCTGAATATTTTTGAAATATCAAATAATTCGCATGTCAGAGCTACAGCTCTTGACGTTTATGTGTAGCGATGTATTTATTTGTCGAGCTGTACGAGTATATCGTGTAATCGAATATATAAAGATGAATGAAAGTGTACACTTCTTCATGCTAGAGTAGCTTTAAAGCTTCAAATGTTGAAAAGCATAAAATACACATTTGTAAATGCTAAATTTAACTTTAAGCGCTAGTCTGACTGAAATCTTATTCTTAACCTCTGCACTATGACAAGAAGCAATCAGTTCTAAGTGGGGCGTGAGAGCGAGTGAGGATGAATAGTTCACACAAACAAATGATATAAACTGTAAGCGTTGTATGGCATCCTTTTGTGGACTTTGAATACGCTGGCGTTGCAATTTAAATAATGCACTAAATGAATTAAGTCAGCCAACCAAATGGTACTCATAGCAACATTTGCCGTTTGTGATGGGGCGTGGTTATGTTACCGAACTAAGCTAAAGAAAGTATTTAAGCCAAATGGTGTAAATCCTTTCACAGCTTCCATAAAAAACGAATCATGTTAACAAAGAAATGAAATGAAGCGCAGACAAAAAGCAAACCAACTAAAGATGGCCACTGATTGTGAGTTCTATGTCAAAAAACAAGAATGAAAGACATTATACTGACTTTCACATACCCTTTGATATACTTATAAATAAATAAAAATCTACGAAAGTATTGGGCATTTTTTAAAATCTTTTTAAAAGAAAATCTAAATACTATTGTATCGCTGTATTAGATACAAGAATTCCTATAAATGTGGCAAACGAAAATATTAAATTATGTTATATATTCTTCAATTGGTAACATCTGTAGCGCCATTACTATAATTCCCTCAGAAAGTGTATAGACAGAAGTATTTAACTCTCTTTAGCAATAGTTGTAAGAAGGATTTTATAGAAAAGTCAGCAGACAAAGTGCTAAAGCAATGAAGAAGAAAGACGAAGAGAAGGGGAGGACGTGTGTCTAAGCAACATACGAGTTGAGGTATCCATGTACGTATATAAGCATATATTTTTTGCAAAGAATATATAAAAATATATATATATATATATATACATATGTGTGTGTGTATATTTGCACACTGTGTGTGCGTCATTGATATATCGCTTGAGCACGGCTTGGCTGTGTAGTCGATACAGGAAACACACGCAGACATTGAAGACGCCAATAAAAGTGGTAATGATGCAGACGGGGCTGACGACGGAAACCTAGAGAGTAAAGCAAAAAATATATATCAAATCGAAAAATTATCAAATGTTGAAATGCCAAAAGGCGAAAAGGGAGAATGAAGCGTACACATACAAATAAAATCTACACAAAGCGTAACGCATAAAGCATGTTTTTTACGGTAGACTGTTTAAAATTGTATGAGCAAAAATATGATTATTTCGTTCGGAGTGCCGCATTGAAAAGCGACAGCTTAATTTGCACCTCAACGGATATGCCACGTGCGCAAATCACGTATGAGCCAGGATATTCAGAGATAGGAAAGGGCGGGGGTCGAGCTGGCGACAGATTTGCAACCTGTGTGGCTGTGTAGCTAAGTTACCGCGAAAGGCGGCAGAACTACATGTAAATAAAACATAATGTGTGTATGCCAACTAATTAAATATATCCGCATGTAGTTTTGCAGTTTAAATTGCACAAAAAGTGGGCAAAACCAAAATACAAACTTCGCACATATATACATATGTACATCTACGGTCGGAAATGGACTGTTGGCACAGTGCTAAGCAAAAATAACCTTACCTCGTGGGGCTTGAGGCAAGATTCTGTTAGCTGTGATGGCATACTGTTGGCCTGCACTGTATACACACACGGCAGCCGAGGCACGTTAAGGGCACACCTACAAATGCTCACACTAACACCCAAGCCACACACACACACACACACACACACACACTTGCACATTTGGAGCGAAGCTTCCGGCAAAATATTTCAGTTGAAAATTTTTAATGAGCTCCAAATTGTGTGTGTGAGAATATGAAAAAATAATGCGCAACAGCAAATAAAATCAAATACATATGAATCTGTGTAGATTATTATTACAAAATACAATATAAAAATTGTGACCAATCAGTAAAATTGAGTTTTGTTCCAAAGGTCACGAGCAATTATGATAAATGTATTAAATGTATATATAAATAAATCTGAAAACAATATCAGTTAGTAGTACGCATTTAAAGTTTTTATTGAATGATTTGACGATTTGTGCCATGCACTGAGAGAAACCCTGCAAAATATAATTAACTAGCTATAATTAACAATTAATTATTTTATGATGGAATAACATAATAATCTTATCCAAAAAATTATTTTGCTAAGGACAACATAAAAAATTAAATCATTTATTTTACAAGTTGTATTTTGATTATTTTATAAGTATATATATAACTAAAATATATTTTACTTTTTAATATTTTTTAACTGTTGAATTTGTTCTTATAGATATATCAATATCCACCCGAAAACTCTGAATTTTTCAGTAAAAACTGCATTTTGAATTGCTTAATGTGAAACTTCGTTACTGCTCTAGGCTGTTGTCGATGTCAATGCAATGAATGCATAAATATGGCACTTACATGCCGTAGTAGTTGTATGTGTGCGGCTGTGTGCTTATAAATCTCGAAAGTATAACATGGCAGTAGTCAGCAGCAGCAACAGGACATGCTACATATAAATATAAATATTCTTACATATACGCACATATACATACATATGTGTATATGGATATATTTTATTCACGAATGTATGCGGCAAAAGCTGACGAATCCGACGCATCTGTCTTCGTGTGAGTAGATTTTTTGTATATTTTATTTCTCTTACTGGCACTGTCAGCAGCGACAACAACAACAACAACAACCAAAACATCGAGTAAGAGCGTCTGTCTGACAGTCTGTTTTAATTTTTCAGATTTACTTGTTACGCTCAGTTCGGTGACGACTGAAGCACTGGATCACTGTAACCCTCAGGCAACCATCAATGCTGCATGTTTTTAAAACTTGTTAACTGTTTCTCAAGCGAAGCATTCATATATTCAGAAGTTACACACACACATAAATCTATACATTTGTATATATAGGTGTATACAAACATACATTCCCCCTTACATTCCCCTTATATGTCTCTCTTTACACTCAATGAATACAACATTTGAAAAGTAATATTTAATTTGTTTTTTTTAGTTAGTTAATTTAGGTGGGTTGGCATTTGCGGTCATTGACATTTATAGGCAGACAAAAATGTATTTTCAGTACCCAATAAAATAATAAAATGCAAATAAAAAGTAAACACATAAAGAATGGTATAGATTTAAGACAATAGCTTCGAACAATTTAAAAATACAAAATATTCACATAAATCATGAATATTGATTTATAAATTGATTGACAAATTGAGTTTGCCTTTAAAATAAAGGCATTTTAATATCTTTGTTATTTTTTAAAAGACTATAT